AAAATATATAATAAAACAAAAATAAATTTACAAGTATAATCTGATATGTAGTTCACGCTTCGCTAAGGTTTTTCGATCAACAACGTGTTCGTTACATTCGTCCCCGGAATTACATCACCCCGGGCAAAGTTCCCAGAGGACCAAATTTCCGATATTGCGCAATTTACTTCATTCATGCATGAATGTTACGTATATGTAGTATAACAACTTAATTCGATAGAGAATGCTAACAACTTAATTCGATAGAGAATGGAGGTCTTCACAATAACACCATGATTCATAATTTCTAACATGAGTGAATTTAATTTTAACTTTGCAGACACGTGGGAATTTTCGGGAGAGCCGTGTTGTGTTATCAACTACAAGTGAACCATCTTCAGATACAGGAGGTATTTTTATAATTGTTATAGTTTATTTGATGCTGTTTACACAAATCCATTTTAGTCTTGCTTTGTGTTGAAACAAGTTACCAAAAACTGCATTATTTTCCAAGAAGAAGATTTCACAATAATTACCAACAAAACGTTGTTTTGACACAACAATTGTTTAAGCTAATTGGATTGTCATGAATTTCAGTTTGATTTATAATGTTGATTCTTTCACTCTAATTCATTTTAGGTTATGGATGACTTAAGCATCCCATCCAAGAAAAACCGTGCATGCAAGATCGTGCGAATTAAATGCCTTAGTGATTTTTTAAATTTCAGCTATTAATGAATTGAAAGAAAAAAAAAACATGAAAGAATTATGTTTGTGATGTTGCTGATCTGCATGAGTGTGTCCACATTGGACAAGGGACACATGTATATAGTCTGATGCATGAGCTACCAACTGAGCTACACACTCAGAGCAACATCACAAACATATATACTGTATCTTCGCCTGAGTGTGTAACACTAGAAACATCAATTCCAGATCATGAAAACATCCTGATATCGAAGGAACTAGACTGTTTTCCGAAATATCACACACTCGAACCGATTTGACCTCGTAGCTCAGTTGGTAGAGCATTGGCTAACAAACCAAAGGTCGTGGGTTCGATTCCCACTGCGGTCAAGCAAACTTTTCAGCTTGCCCGGTGTGCACACACTCAGGGAAACATCACAAACATAAAATCTTCACCTGAGGGCACAACACGTACAGAAACAAGAATTCATGAAAGATTTACTGTAGTAACATACATGGTTGCAAACCAAATTGTATTCTTTACTGATAGTTGTAATATCTTTTAATTGTAGAGGTTTCCCAGTCTGAGGATACATTTTTTAATGAGGTACACAATGCACTCTATAAATACTATATCGGTGCCCATTGTGGCATGCTAATTAAATGTCCATTCTGGGCAGGAATGCATAACAAGTCCAATATATACTAAATTAAATGTTATTAATATTACCATGCATGTCAAAGTAATTTATTCAAGAAAAGGATGGTCGGAATTCTAAGGTAAAAAGTACTCTAAATCCATGCAGCATTGCTTGTTTCATAGTCATGAGTCATGATCATGATGTGTTACTCGGAATACAAACACTCGCTTTCCTATATATGAAAGTTTAACATCGAATAAAGGCCTTCTATTTTGTGGCTTTGAACTTTGCCGGGCTTCCAGTCCGTCATATCTTGACAAACTATGTGGTACTATGTACTGTAATTTAATGCACCATTATACACAGAAAATGATATACGAGTACATGAATATTAATTAACTAGCTATCTAATGATGGTAATGATAATTATGCAGTCAGGAAATAAAAATTTCGTGCAAACAATATTTGAAGTGTCTATACAGCCAGCTATTTAGTAAAATGCCACTTGTGAATTCAATCCATATTCATCGAATTTTCAAAACTTTATTATAATCATATGAAGCAAAAGTTCTGTCACTTGTTGTTTACACTTGCCAATGTTTAACTGTTGATTAACATACATAAACTATTTGGGGAACATGCATTATTGTAGCAAAGAGGTCAATCATACATTGAAGACCACTGAATTATTAATAGAGAATGTTTTGAAGGTCATGAGTGAAGTATATATAATTCAATTACAGTCCTGTGCCAGTGCGTTCTATCTGTTCTGTGCACAGTTAATGACATACCACACTGCGACTATTCGGTTTAACACAGCATATCCACAGTCCATTCAAAAACAATTTGTGTTGTGGGAGAAAATCTGTTTGACTATGGATAGTATCACAAGTTTAGTTTTGTACATTGTGTGCCATTGACCATATCCATCCATTATAATATATGATTATTCATTGTAGCTGTTAAGTTACTTTCCATGCTAATGAATTTAGGTAAGATTGTCTTGCAAATGGTTGTTCGGACAAAATTATCCAGCCAATATCCAGTAAATTTATTCGTCATTCTTGTATTAATCTCTATAAAGCAAAAACATTTATGTTAGAAAGCAAAA